AGGACCGGGTCCGGATCAGGTCCAGACCGGATCAGGACCAGGTCCAGATTGGGTCTGGACCGGGTCAGGACCAGGTCCAGATTGGGTCTGGACCGGGTCAGGACCGGGTCTGGATCAGGTCCAGACCGGGCCACAGGAAGTGATGAAGGACGACCAACAACTGGAGCCGGTTCCTGCCCTGTTCAGGAAGCCTCCAGCCTCCAGCCTGAATTATCTTCAGTATTATAAACTTTTTATCCTGTTTTTGTGCCCAGAGCTGCTTTGTTTCTCTGCAGAGTGAGTCAGAACCGTTCAGAACCGGCAGGATTCCTGGCAGCAACCAAACAGAACCTTCAGCTTCCAAAACGCAGGAAAACCACCGTCTGTTCGCTTAAAACCAGGACAACAGGAAACCCCCCAACCCGCTACATCAATCCCAGCTGACTTTAAAGGTCCCAGTTTGCTGAGCATCATGGGAGTTTAACTCCACAAAGAGACGATGGAGGGATGAGTTTCTGCTGAGGACGGAGGAGAGAAATCTGGACAGTCTGTCTTTTGCCTGGACAAAGAAGCCTGCATGCGTGTGTGTGTGTGTGTGTGTGTGTGAACAGGTGAGCTAACTACCTGAGTCAACAGCCACTCATGAATACATTCAGAGCCTGAGAACAGAGAGCAGCGACTGTGACAAATGCCAGCAGCCTTGGACACAAACGCAGGCAGAGGTGAAGCCAAACACACACACACACACACACACACACACACACACTCTCTCTCTCTCTCTCTCTCTCTCTCCCTAATCTCTGACACACACGCTCCCAGAGACATGCACACCCCGGGTGGATAATGCAGCCTGCTGACAGCTGACGTCTGTAATGAGGAGTTTAAATGTATTTCAGTTTGTGGATCCGAGCCACAAGAAAACGGAGAACCGGCCCGGTTCAGGGCCAGAACCAAAGGAACCAAAGGAACCAGAGTCCTGCAGGCCGACCCAAACAGAGAGCAACCAGCTCATATGAAATACGTAAGAACCTTATTTAGGCTGTTTTCCTCCTGATGGTCCGGTGGACCTTAGCTAGCTTAGCGTTCACATTGGAACCAAACCAGAGTTCACTTCTACCAAACCCAGTCTGAGGTTCAGAGGACCAGAGGTCAGAGGTCGATTAGTGTTCAGACCTCACCAACCGGACCGGACTTTCTAAACGGACTGGAGTTGGGTTGAAGCGGGCCTGGTGGGACTGCAGCCTTAAAGTTCTCCTGATTGTTGACGCCGTCAAACCGGGCCGAGACTCAGAATAATTCTGCCTCATGGAGCCGCAGGAAGAATAAGAGACAGAAAACAGACATGAGGTTATAATTTACCATCTCTGCTATCAAGCCCACAGCATCACAGGCCCTCCACCATGCTGAACAGAGGAGCTTTTCCACATATTCATCCTGTTTTCCACCAGAACCATCTGACCCGATCCGGTTCTGGATCCGGTTCTGACTTTAAACCCAAATGAACTCATGAAGGTCAACATGTCCGCCTCAATTTAAAGACATGATTTCCTGTCTTTCCCGTTTTGCAGAGGGCTGTTCCTGTGTGTCGGGTCAAACAGGAAGTGATTGATTATTGGTTAACAGTTATAAACGCTGCGTCGTCTCACAGCGAGGTGGGCGGAGCCTGCTGCTCCGCTCTGACCATCAAACATGTTAGAATAACTCCCGATCCTTTTGTCCTTGGATAAAAACGCAGCCAGGCTTCTTCACGACTCGTTTCATTATCCGTCGCCATGGTAACAGATGCTTATTTCCCCACACAGTCATTCATCTTCACTTAAAGGCACAGAGGAGCGCTAACAAGGACAGACCAACATCAGTCAGCGGGACGTTTTCTGCTTAGAGAGACAGAAAACGGGACATCGTTCATCTAAACTACAGAAGGAGCTCAGAGACGGATGGAGGCAGGCGGTCCGAAACGGTCCGAAACGGTCCGAAACGGTCCGAAACCGAACAACACCAAGACGCAACAGCAGTCAGACCCAGAATCTGATCAGAAGAACCAAACAGAACCTGCCAGAGCTGAAACAGAACCGGGTCTGTTTGAAGAGCTGATCCAGTCCCAGACACATTATTTATTTAAAACTATAAAGAATAAATAAAATGTATTTAGTTTTTTCAGATCCAGATTCCAGATGAAGAATTTGAAATATATTTATGATCAACATGAGAAAATAAAGATGTTTTTATTCTTGTATGGAAAAGAAAAAATGCCTGAAATGAAATTATGTTTTTAGCGTTTTGGTTCTGTTTGGACCGTATTCACTGACCCAGATTCATCGGTTCTGGTTCTGGAACTATCAGGTTTTCTCTGTTCTGATCGGTTTGATGTTCCTCTCAGAGGCGAATCAAAGCCTCCACCTGCGCCAGCTGACACCTGCTGGTCTCTGCAGAGGTCAAAGGTCATCTCAGCCTCACTGAGTCACTTCCAGGTGCAGAAACACGGCGGGTCGGGTCCAAACCCAGACAGAACCTGCTGGGTTCTCATGTTTACGCTCTTATTTCACAGACAAAGGTCTGGAGAGTGGTTCTGTTTGGTTCTATTGGGTTTGGTTCTGTTTGGTTCTGCTGGGTTTGGTTCTGTTTGGTTCTGTTTGGACCTGTAGAACCTGATCTCTTTTTCTTCTTCAGTCCAAACTAAAGTAAAAATCATCAAATTAATGAAACAGGGGACCGGAACCGGACCGGAACCGGACTGGAACTCTGACCAGAACCCATCAGAACCGACACCCAGATGGCCGATGCTCTGCTCGCTCAGCGGACCCGCTCCTGGAGTCGGAACCACAGCTGAACCGGGCCGCTGACTCATCCCCTCCAGCAGCAGCGCCGCTCACCTGCCTATCTGGGTCAGAACCGGGCCAGCGCTCATGTCTCGGAGCATTTTTCACTCTCAGGGTGCTGATCCAGCGAGCAGCGCTCCGACGAAGAGCCGTGAAGAATCTGCGTGTCAGAACTTTCCGGTCTGGACCCGAACGGAGCAGCTGGAGAACCTGCCTTCATTTATCCTCAGCAGGAACAATAATAGGTTCTGATGACGCCGGAACACCGGGCCGCCGCAGCTGCAGAACCTCTGAGGAGCGCTGACACAGCAAGATCCGACCAGTTAGACCGGACCGGATCGGATCAGAACCGGGCCGGACCAGAACCAGAGCAGAACCGGCCCTGGATTTACAACAAAACAGCTGAAATCCTGCAGAAACCACCTGAACCAGAACATCCTGCCGGGCCCGACGGACCCGGACTGAGTCGGCACAGGTCACGTGCACGCTCACAGTGACACGTGCACAACACAAATCAGTCACTTCCTGTTAGCAACGCCACCGCGCCGCGCCTCCTCCTTCCAGCCGGACCTCAGATTGAACCGTTGATAAAAATCATATTTCGGTTCATATCTCTGATTTGGTGCAGCTGAACTCAGCAGGAGTGAAGCCGAGAAATGTTCCCCGATTTACAAAGTCTGGCTGAAGTGGTGTTTGTCATCCCAGAGTCTGGTGTAGCGCAGACCAGGAAGTTCAGAGATTTTACAGAGTTCATCATTTTTATAGTTCGTCTGCAGTTATCGGGTCGGGTCCTCACCTCCTCCTCTCTCTCCTCGTCTCCCTCGGATCCCTCGCTCTGCTCCTCCTGACCCTCCTCTTCTTCCTCCTCCTCCTCTTCCTCCGGAAACTCCACGTCGGACTCTCCGGGGGCGATGGGAACGCTGATGGTCAGGTTGGGGTTGGTCATGTAGCTGTCGTCCTCCGGAACCACGTACTTCTCCACATGGCGGCCTGGAACAGACGGGTCGGGTTGGTTCTGGTTCTGTCCAGATAAACCCAAACTGTGTGTGTGTGTGTGTGTGTGTGTGTGTGTGTGTGTGTTACCGATGACGGCGCCGTTGGCCTCAGTGTGAACGGTGCTCAGCCGTTTCAGCTTCATCATGGCTTTGGCCTCTTTTCGTTTCTGCCGGCGCCGCTTCAGGTTCCCGTTGAAGAAGTCCACCACCTAGAACCCCAGAACCATCGGGTCAGAACCATCGGGTCAGAACCATCAGGTCAGAACCATCGGGTCAGAACCAGGTCAGAACCAGGTCAGAACCATCAGGTCAGAACCATCGGGTCAGAACCATTGGGTCAGAACCAGGTCAGAACCATCAGGTCAGAACCATCGGGTCAGAACCATCGGGTCAGAACCAGCAGTACCTGTCGGCGGCACCAGCCCAGGCCCAGAGTGATCCGGTGGATGGCGATCTGGAGGTTGTTCATCTCCCCGTCTTCATCTGGGGCGGAGAGGTTGTCGGAGCTGAAGCTGCTGAGGAGCAGAGCCAGGAAGAGGTTCAGCAGCTGCAGACAGAGCAGAGGGGGCGGAGTCAGAGCTGACCTGGGCGGAGGGGGCGGAGTCAGAGCTGACCTGGGCGGAGGGGGCGGAGTCAGAGCTGACCGGGGCGGAGTCAGAGCTGACCGGGGCGTAGGGGGCGGAGTCAGAGCCGGTTCTGACCCGAAACACGTCCGATCACAGGTTACATCAGCTAAAAGCTTTGAGTTTAAAGTGGAAGTCAAGGAACAGGAAGTGATGTAGAAAACCAAACAGAGATAAAAAGAAAATGTCTGATTCATTCATAATTCTGACATGGAGCTGATGAAGCATCAACCCTGCGGCTGGAGGGTGGTTACCTAGCAACCAGCAGCTGCTGGAAACCGGGCCACTGGGTCAATAACAGACACCAGGAAGCAAACTGGAAACTGGCTGGACTGGAGTTTATTTAGTGGAATCAGAGTAAAAGGGGCTGAAGACAATGCAAAGCAGGATTTTACTTAAAATAAATTTTTAACATGAATTATTAACAAAAAGGTATTTTTATGATCGACATCATTAAAGTCTGAGACTCTAATCCAGGTTTCTGATCCTGCAGCTCCAGAAGTGATAAACCAGATATTAGTTTTAATTATACGTTTGTAATAAATGCAGGTTTTAGTAGTTTAATAATTACACTGAAAGTACCAGCAACAGGTTTCTAGATCTATTTTCTCATTCATATTTCCAATAAAAATCAACATCTTACAAAACGCTTTATTCACTTTTCACAAAAGTCTTATGGTTTTATTAATTTTAAAACCAAAATCTAAATAAAATTGTGTTTTTTTAGTGTAACAACATTTCCTCCAGTGTGCGTCATTTGCAGCTCTAAATATGTTTTCTGAAGCTGAACTGGCTGCAAAGATCTGATCTAAAGTTTCTGATTTTATAATAATTATCCTCCAGAGGGAGTTGCATTATTTCGGTGTGTGTGTGTGTGTGTGTGTGTGTGTGTATTGATCCCAGCTGGTGCCATGTTTGTTGTCGTTGTGTGTTACTGATCTCTGTTGCTGTCATAGCTTCCCTGACCCAAATCGCTGCCGTCTGATTGGCTGTGTAATCCACCAATAGATCAATGGTTCTGATTGGCTAACATGGCAACCTGCGGTATTGACCAATGACCTTCCTGCTTTCCAGTAGTCAATACCCAGACTCTGACAGGAGCGACTGCAGAACCAGCAGACCGTTTCCTGATTAGCAACTCATTACAGGGAAAACGGCTTTAATTCCAGGTTCGGCCACTTGGGGGCAGCAGAAAGGCTATGATGTGAGCAAACAGCAGATTGTAGGTCAGTCATGAGGACAAAGTTCAGGTGTTGAGAAAAGCTCCAGTTACCATGGTAACAGATCCAGGTAAGATGTAAAACTCTCAAACTGAACCAAAAGTTACCTCAATAAAGGACCGGTCCGGTTCTGGAGCCAGCTGTTGCTCCTGATGCTCCTCGTTTAGCTCGACGACACACACCCCACACACACACACACACATCATTTACTTCACATCAGCCAATGAGCTGAACTGACTGGATTCGTTTTACTGATGGTTTCCTTCCAGACGTTTACTGGACCAGCAGAGACGCTTCACGGTTTTACTGGAAACTTAAATTCTCCTTCAGTAAACCGGCTGCTGCCTGGAAACGGCCCCGCAGCAGATCCAGGGGGAACCAAGCCGGGTCGGATTGATCCAACGCATCACACCAACCGCCGAGAGCAAAGCCTCCTGGGAAATCCCCAGGAGGAGCGGCGGGAGTCCCAGTAAACCATAGAGGCAGACAGAGACAAACTGGGAGAGCTGGGAGGGAGAACAGGAACGGTCTGGGAGGAACAAGGATCACATGTAAAGAGGTTCTAATGGTTCTGCTCAATCTAATGGTTCGGTTCTGTTCAGATGGATCCACTGAGTCAAACATCACGATTCTTCTCTTCAAATATCAGAATTTAATTTGATAAAATCGTTCATCTTCAGCTGAATCGAGTCAAAATGAACTGGATCGATTAAAAAGAACTGAATCTGTTAAAGCAGTGAACTGAATCAAACCGAATGCAGCTGAACCAGTTCCAACCCAGTTCCCACCTCCAGGTCAGAACCGACCCAGAACCGGTCGTCCTCTACAGAACCTCAGCGGACAGGAACATGAGACCCAAACTGGATCTCATTCTGAGGCAAACCGGGTCGGTTCCACTGAGGTTAAACGTTCAGAACAAGCCCGACTGCAGCTCCGTTTGGACCCAGAACCAGGATCCTGTGGAGCTGCAGCAAGTACAGCTGGAGCTCCACACGTCTGACGAGAGGATGAGGAGGAGGATGAAGAGTTACTGGTACCAGGTGTGCTGCAGGTGAAGTGCTGACTCAGCAGAATCAGTTCGGCGGCTCGTTTGTCATGAGCTGCAGCAGCTGAACATCTGCTGCAGCTCAGAGCCTCCGCCGGGCCTGATGGGACCCGCCTGCAGCGGGGAGGACCTGCTGCTGCTGGGTCGCCATGGCAACGCTGGACGCAGCAGCCCGTCCCAGTCAAACCAGTCCAGACCGACGTTCTGGTTCTGAGAACCTCCTGGAGAGAAAAACTGAACTCCTTCAGGAGGCTTCAGGTTCAGCCTGGGTGGAAAGTAAGTAAGTAAGTAAGTAAGTACACCCTGTTCTTCTGCTGCTCTGGTCCTCATATTTCCATTCTTCTTCTGTGGTTTCTGTTTTCCTGTTTTTATCTTTTTTCTTCATTTATTTCTCTTTTTGCTGTTTTATTCCATTTTTACTATTTTCTCTAAAGTTTCATCTGAATTTTCTTTGTTCTTGTATTTTTTATTTTCCCTTGTTGAACATTTCTATAGTTCTCGTCGTTATTGCATAACTTCCTTCCTCAATGCGACGATTCCATGAATCCTGATGATGTTTCTTATTTTCTCTTTTTTTATTTGCTTTTAATTATTTTTCCTCTTTTGTTGTCCATGTTTATTTTCTTCACCTCTTTCTTCTTTCCTTCAGACAAACTTTAACTTTAATTAGATTTTTTTCATCTCAGGGTGAAGCACTGCATGTCTCACAAAGGAAAACACACACACACACGCGCACACACGCACACACACCTCTGGATCACAATCGGAGCGTTTCTAACGGGATAAATCAGATCAACGGGAACGCTGCCGTCATCCCGACTCAAACGCACCGCGATATGTTCAGGTGCATTTCTTCAGTCGGGTCAGCGTAAACCTCTGCAGGAGGAGGTGTGTGTGTGTGTGTGTGTGTGTGTGTGTGTGTGTGTGTGGGTGTGCGTGCGTGCGTGTGTGTGTGTGGGTGTGTGTGCGTGCGTGCGTGCGTGCGTGTGTGTGTGTGTGTGTGTGTGTTGTATCAGCCTCATTATTAAATCTCCATGAGAGCATTAAGCCAGCAGCTGAGAGGAGTCGAGTTATTGCTCTGAGAGTCGTTATGATCCGCTGACGGCCGGAGAGACGGAGACACTTCAGGCTAATCAGAACCAGGAGGAGGAAGAGGAGGAAGAGGAGGACGGAGTGGAAATGAGAAGCTGCTCCTCTCCTGAACTTGAGACGTTTTCAGGGTCATAAAGTTACTTTTGGATCTAGTTATTGTCTCGATCAGATGCTGAAATGCTTCCAGTGTTTCCTGGTTTGGGAATTTCGTGCTTCCTGAACATCCGGTCCTCTGGCTGTGACTCCGTGTTTTTGGGTCAGAACATCGGAGCGGGCCAGGAGAACTCCTGCAGAACCGATCCGGAACAGGAACAGGAACAGGAACAGAACTCTGCAGCTGCAGCAGAAAGCGGCTGCTGCTCCGATTCATCCCATAAAAACATAAAAACCTAAAAACCGTCAGGCGGATTCATCACAGCAGATCTGGAGAAATCAGTCATCCAGTTGATTTGATGTTCAGAGTCATGATTTGATTCAGAACCTGTCCGAACGGTTCTAGAGGTTCTGTTGAAATGACGAGACTGACGAGGAAAAGACACAGTTAGAATATTTGTCTAAAACACTTAAATTATCAGTTTTCCATCAGTTTAATTCAGCAGAAACTCTACAACTAAAATGAGCAGAATTCAGTTTAGTTAGTTTAGCTGCCTGGTTTTTACTTAAAGATATTTATATAAAAATGTATTCAGAATATTTGGTGGTAATGCATATAATGCATTATATGTGTAATACATTAAAACGGATCAATAATTTCCATTTGATTTATCGTTTATCGTTTTTCTCAAAAACTGGATGATAAAAGTTTCAGTCGAGTTTCTAGATCTTAACTCTAATTATGTTAATTTCATTTGTTGTTTTGTTTATTTAGTTTGGATATTTAAAGTGTCTTCTAGTTCCAGTGTTGAAATTTAAACTTTAATTTGATAATGGGTTTAGTTTGCCATTATCATTATATTAGTGCAAAATGGTCTGAAAATAAAAATATTACCGTTTTATCGTCCAGTAACATTTTTATCCTGACAGAACCAGAGACGTTCGACTTAAAACACATTTAAAATCTATTTTTGAGTCTTTTGAATTCAGGAAAGAAACATTTTATTCTCCATCTCTACTGATCTGTAGAAACCAGAACCAGAACCAGAACCAGAACCAAACCCTCAGCAGCCAGAAACACTGCAGCTGGACCCAGACATTCAACTAGAGGTGCACCGATTTCTCGCCCAGCCGATTCATCGCCCAGCCGATTCATCGCCCAGCCGATTTTCTTAATTTTGTGAGATCATTGATCAGCAGATAATTACATGTGAAGCTGATCTGATCTTCATCAGTAAAGGTCTAAAAATCAGCTGCTGTTGTCTTTGCTCTGCAGTCAGTTTGCCTGTTAGCCCCGCCCACCGCCGTAGCCCCGCCCACCAGGTTTTATCTGAATGTTTACGGTAACAATCGCCGCCCCTCTACTTCAACTCAGTGACTTTAATATATTTAGCAACGTTTCAGAAAAATAAATCTTGGTATCGACCAAAATCAGAATCGGCAGGTCAGTCTCTTTTAAAGATCAGGAATCAGCCAGAAAACTGCAATCGGTGCATCCCTACTTTAAACCCAGCCCAAACCGGGTCCATCCGGTCCGGTTCAGAACCAGCAGCCTCTCTACCCCCGCGCGGCGGCAGCGTCCCCCTCAGAGGAACTCACCACCAGGTTTCCGATAACCATGACCAGCATGAAGACGAGGATGCAGAGCGGCTGCCCCGCCACCTCCATGCAGTCCCACATGGTCTCGATCCATTCGCCGCACAGAACCCGGAACACGATGAGGAAGGAGTGGAAGAAGTCCTTCATGTGCCAGCGGGGGAGGACGCAGTCCTTGGAGATCTTACACACACACTCCTGCAGGGACACAGCAGAGGTCAGACACGGCGCCGGCGCCCGGCCCGGCCACCGGGAGGCGACGGCGGCCCACCTGGTAGTTCTTCCCGAACAGCTGCATCCCCACCACGGCGAAGATGAAGACGATGATGGCGAGGACCAGCGTCAGGTTGCCCAGGGCGCCCATGGAGTTCCCGATGATCTTGATGAGCGTGTTGAGGGTCGGCCAGGAGCGGGCCAGCTTAAAAACACGCAGCTGGGGCAGAACAGGGGGCAGGGGTCAGAGGTCAACAGTCGGCAACAACAGGAAGGAAAACTTTTCATTTAGGATTCAATCAACTCCGACTGACTGGACCAGATGCAGATCATTTAGATCTGAGTTTCAGATCCAAAGGATCTGCAGCTTCAAAAGCAGGAAGTGAACTACAGCACAGGGCATTCTGGGTAAATACAACCAAAGCTAACGTGCTAGCCTAGCGCTAGCAGCAGAAATGGCTCCTGGTCTTTAGCCTAAAGAGAAATCCTCCAATGCTAAAATCTGACGCATCCATCTTGTTTCCATCTGGTGAAGAAGGAAGTTGCTCTCAGTGTCTTCAGAGGTTTTTGTGTCGTTTCCTTCAGTGGTTCTTGGTGCAGCGCCCCCACAGGCCAGGAGGGGAACAGGTTGGTTTGACTCAGAGCAGCTGGAGGTGGAGCAGATGTTCTGGTTCCAGTAGAACCGGGTCGACCGGACCATCAGGAGGAAAACATCCTTAGAGACTTTTCAAAGCAAATATGAGTAAAATGTTGGAAAAGAAGCAGAAGATCTCCGGTTATCCTGGATCTATCAGTAGAACTGAGGTTTGTTCTTCTTCTGCAGCATCTATCAGGTCACATAAATCAGAGAAGAAGAAACAATCTGCAGATGCAACCAGTGAGGATGAGGAGGACGAAGGGGTGTTATCATGTGGGGGGTCCTGCAGGAAGACGGAGATCCTCAGAGTGACACTTCCTGAGATCAGTGAGGACAGATGAAGACCCGAGATGCTGCTGACGCCTCCGCTCCACTCCGCCTGATCGGGTCAGAAACTTGGCCACAGCTGGACTTTTGGCTAAATGACATCACTCTGCACCGGCCAATCAGCATGCACCGTCAAACCCAAACATCTCAGAGGGAATCACTTCTCGTGTGGTTGGGTTTTCCACCAACAGAAACCACAACGGTTAAGGCAGGATCAGTGGCTACGCGCTACGCATGTGGGTGCTGCGCTGGAGCGGGCGCCAAAATGACAACATTATTACATTACATTAAACTGTGTCTAAGGGCTGTTAGTGTGAGCGATGCGATGACGTACCAGCCGGAAGGAGCGCAGGACGCTGAGCCCCTCCACATCAGACAATCCGAGCTCCATGAGGCTGAGGCACACGATGATGCTGTCAAAGATGTTCCAGCCCGTCTGGAAGTAGTAGTACGGGTCCAAGGCGATGATCTTCAGAACCATCTCCGCTGTGAAGATCCCTGAGAACACCTGAGGGACACAAACACAGAGGCCACACTGGGGTCACGCTGGGGTCAGACAGAGGTCACATAGGGTCAGAGGTCACACTGGGGTCAGACAGAGGTCACATAGGGTCAGACAGAGGTCACACTGGGTCACACAGGGTCACACAGAGGTCACATAGGGTCAGACAGAGGTCACATAGGGTCAGACAGAGGTCCAGCCCAGCAGAGAGGAAGCTGATCCAGGTCGAGTCCATGTTTATGGTTCTGACCATGCAGATGGTCAGAACATCTTCAGAACCAAACCCTGCTGGGTTCTGGACAGACTTCAGTTCACACCAACACCGACCCACAGAGACGATGAGAATACATCTAAAGTTCTGAGTCCAGCCAACCGGGTCCAGTTCTCCAGAACTCCTGAAGCAAAACAACAGCGACTCACTGCAACCTAAAAATGATCTAAAGTTTAAGTTTCACTTTAACATCTTTAAGTTGGTAGAGCTGCTGCCTCGCAGCCAGAAGGTTCTGGGTTCGATTCCCGACCCGGGTCGTTCTGCATGTTCTCCCAGTGCATGGTGGGTTCTCTCCGGTTCTCCGGCTGCCTCCCAGTCCAAACACATGACTGTCAGGTTAATTGTCTCTCTAAAGTGTGTTTGTCCCGTCTGTCTCTGTGTTGCCCTGCAACAGACTGGAGACCTGACCAGGTGACCCCAGGTCACCCCAGGTGACCCCAGGTGACCCCACCTCTCACCTGAAACGTTTACTGGAGAGGCACCAGAACCTCCTGACCCCATTAGGGCCAAGGGGTAAGACAATGGATGGATGTTCAGCTGCTCATCGGATTAAAAATCCTTTTGTTTCTTATTTTCTAATTTTGTATCATGTCCAGTCAGTTCATGCCGACATCAGAACTTTTGGTTCAGTTCTGAAGTTACTTCAACACAACATCACAACTAACTCTAGATTTTTCATTTTCTGGCAACAAAAACTCCTACAGTTATTTAAATAGTTTGTTTTTTATGCAGTAAAGATCATTTTTAATTCACTCTAAATCTAGTTTGTGTTTTGTGTGAACAGAAAGAGACTCACTACTAAACCTGGTTTAAAATGAATATTTATAAAATTGTATGAATACAAGAACTAGATAAAAGCAGTAAAAACACTAAATGTATCAGGTTATAACCAGATGTGACAGACAGCAGCCATGTGACCCTGAAAGGATCAGCAGGAATACATAAAAATGTTAAATATAAAGATTCATCCATTCAGAGTCGTTTTACTGTATTTTATATTTTCAAGGTTCTGCAGCAGAGATCCAGGTTCTGCCACTGATCTGAATATTTGGGTCAGTTTCATAATCTTCCAGGAACCAGAGGAATAAAACTCAGATGTATAAATGAATGTTTGTGTCAGTGGAGAGAGAAGCGACCTTGAGCCTCGCTGTCGCTCTGACATGCGTCATGACGGCTGAAGCTGCCATCAGGCTGGGAGGAAACAAGAAGCTCCTGAAACTCTCAGGTAAACACAGAGCAGCTGAACGAAGGGCAGGAAGAGTCAGAGGGCCGCGCTGCAGCCCGGCTCAGGTTCAGCCCACGTCCACACGCAGCTCCTATCACCGCCGCTCTGCTCCCCGGCTCTCTGGAAGCCGGCAGGAGTTGAGCTGCGGCGGCGGCTGCTGCAGCAGCGGCGGCGGCGCGCTGACCGCTGCTGAAATGTTTCTGTATGCTTCAGTTAGCATGGAGCCCCACGCCACTCAGCTGGGAGTCACGCTGCTGCTAGCATGCACACTGCATCCGCTTCATGGACCCGGAAACCAAGGCGACATCATGAATCCATCTCTACGGTTTCCATGGTAACCAGCAGGCAAACATCAGCAGAATGCTCTGATAAACAGGCAGCAGAGTCTCAACACAAGGCCAGGGCGGAAAGGCATCAGAATGACTTCAGATTACCGTCCATCAATCTGAGAAAGGTTCAAAGGTCATCGTCTCAAACTGATCTAGACATGTGCCGAGGCGACCCCGTGACCTGGATGGACAGAAGCAACGATGGAGAGAAAAACTGGACCAAGAAACTCCACAAAGACCAGAGAGGCTGAGAAAAACCAGCAGAATCAGTTTAACACGCTGTTCCCACTCCAGATGCTACAGCTGTGTTAGCATGACTGTGTGTGTTTGAGCCTCCATGTGAGTTTCTGGTACCGTTTGCGTGCATTAGCATGCGTGTGTGTGTTAGCATATCTAAGTTTGTCGGCATGTTTGTATGTTTCTGTTGACTGATTTATGTGTGTTAGTATTGTCTTTGTGTTTGCATATTAATGTATAACATGTTTGTGTGTTTTACCATGGCTACCTGTGTTAGCATGGCTACCTGTGTTAGCATGACTACCTGTGTTAGCATGGCTACCTGTGTTACCAGGCTACCTGTGTTAGCATGGCTACCTGTGTTAGCATGACTACTTGTGTTAGCATGGCTACCTGTGTTACCAGGCTACCTGTGTTAGCATGGCTACCTGTGTTAGCATGACTACCTGTGTTAGAATGGCTACCTGTGTTAGCATGGCTACCTGTGTTTGCATTGCTACCTGTGTTAGCATATTTGTATGTGCTGGAATGTCTTTATGCGTTGGCGCTCTGTGTGTTAGCATTGTCTATGTTTGTTAGCAAGCGTGTTTGTGTTTGTTAGCATATTATTATATTAGCATATTTGGATGTTTGTGTTTTCATGTCTCTGTGTTAGCTTGTGTGTTTCAGCATCAGTGTGTATTTAGAGATTTGTGTTTAGTTCTTATGCAGGGCAGTATGTGTGTTAGCGTATATGTTTGTGTTCTCATGTCAGTGTGTGTGTGTGTGTGTGTGTGTGTGTGGAGCCTCCAGGATGGTCCCGTCTCGCCTCGGGGCTCATTAGCTCTGCAGAGCGTTGATTAGCTTCTCCTCATGATTACTGAGTTCAGGAGGAGCTCTCTGCTGCTCTCTGGGTTCAGACACACATGATGATCATGATGATGATGATGATGAGGAGGTAGGTCAGGGTCAGAACGTTCTTTAGTGGTTCTAATAAACCTGGATCTAAGTAACTGGATCTATCTGATCCGGTTCTAGCTCACAGAATTAGTTCATGTTTCCAGTTTAAATCATTCACACTCAGTTTATTATTTTTCCTCCTGTTCTCTCATCATGTTGTTATTTTTGCATACTGTGTCGTGTTTTCCGGTCATTTTCTCGCTCATGTTTCTCTGACGTCAGGCCGACTGATGCTAACGAAGTTAAACTCGGCTCAGCTGTCAAACATCAGCAGCAGCTGCTGCTTCCCTGCAACCAAAAGCATCAGTGAGCAGAAAAACTGGCTGCTTTATGCAACTCAGTAAATATGAAACTATGACCTTTAAAAGGCTTCGGCTGAATTAACTCAAGCAGCTTCCGGTTCACCAAGTTAAAGCAATATATTTACAGATGTTTTCAACTAAAATGCTAAAAAACTTTACTGCAAGTCTTTGAAAAGAACAATTCATTTAGTTTATTTTATTCAGCAACAAAAACAAGAACTTTCTTCTAAAATTGTGAGGTCTTTAGCAAACTGGATGCCAAAGTCTGAGTAAAATGATGTTTGTGGCCTAATCAAAGTAAAAATGATGTGGCTAATCAAAGAAAAAATAGTTTTGTTAAACTGAACATTTTACAATTAAGAAGATCTCATCCTAAAAACCCATAGAAGATGTTAAACATCATCAGCTTCACTTTCTGAAAGTCAAACTGAAGTCAGGGGCCACATGAATGCATTCCAGGGGCCACAAATGGCCCTCAGGCCGCACTTTGACCCCCACCTCATGGAAAAAGCTCCTGAGCTAAACTGAATAAACTGAATGTTTGACGAGGATCGACAGGAATGTGTGTGATGGACCTGAAATGAAGTTCTGTAAAGTTTAGTTTGGACTGGTGATATAGAAACAAACTGTATCTATAATGATCTATAGATCAGCATCTATAGATCAGCATCTATAGATCAGTATCTATAAACACTGATCTACAATCCAGCAGCTGATGGTTCTGATCTGGTTCCTCTGGTTTGATGTTTAACTTCCTCTGAGTTTCTGATTCACTGATGGAGGAAAGAAACTGACCAGCAGCTACGTTCACTTCAGAGTGTGTGTGTGTGTGTGTGTGTGTGTGGGTGTGTGTGTGTGTGTGTGTGTGTGTGTGTGTGTGTGTGTGTGTGTGTGTGTGTGTGTGTGTGTGTGTGCCGTAGGCTCTTGAACAGGGATGTTGACATCAGCACTCACTAATAACAGTAACATCAGCAGAGAGAGGATGACTATGTGAGGAAGACGCGTGATTATTTTTGTCACAACCAGGCAGATGTAATGAGTAAGCAGCACTACAACACACACACACACACACACACACACACGCAGGCGGCTGCAGGCTGCAGCAGACGATCATTAAGCAGAATGTTCTGAGGTTTCGTCCTTCTTGTTTTAACTCCATTAAATCGTCTCTGATTTAATCTGAGGGACATTAAACCAACATTTCCTGTTTTATCGTTAAACTTCCTGCTCTGCCTCAGTGCCTCTGAGCAAAGACGGGCGTCCAGCAGAGGACGGGCGTCCAGCAGAGGACGGGCGTCCAGCGGAGGACGGGCGTCCAGCGGAGGACAGACGTCCAGCAGAGGACGGACGTCCAGCAGAGGACGGGCGTCCAGCAGAGGACGGGCGTCCAGCAGCCAGCTGACCCCAGTTAGACTGAAACGTTTCACAAACAGCTTCAGTTTCAGGATCTGCAGAGAAGCTTTAATATGACATCATCACTGTGACATCATCACTGTGACATCATCACTGTGACATCATCACTGTGACATCATCACAGCTGAACAGGTTTCTGTCTAACAAACTACGTCAGACAGGAAGTCCTTCACGGTGGACAAAACATTTAGCAGAAAATCAGTTAAAGAGATGAAATCTGAATATACAGAATAAAAATATACAGAATATTCATCCAGCTGCTGTTTTTATTTATTAATGCTGAACTTTTTATTTCCACATCCTGAAAAACACAGTCAGTCTCTTCTGGTTTGTTTAGTTTTCTTGATTGATTTTTACTCTCATATTCAATCAATTTAAATATTAATAAAATGATTATGTATTTCTGTAACTCATATAGATTAATTAAACACAGATTGACGTTTTAAAGCTTTTATTTCTGTTAATGATGATAATTTCCTGATTTCAGCTCTAATAAAAACTGTTTAATATTAGCCTAAAGGCTTTTATTTTGNAAAGACATTTCTGACAAGTGAATAATACTCAAGTGTTTATAATCCTGAGGAAAAAACACTGTAAAGCTTAAAGGAGAGAAGGACGGTGAGGAAGAGGAGGAGGAGGAAGAGTTCAACCTGTTTCATCAGAAATCCTCTAAAACTTTCATTTTCCTTCATGATGGATTTATTCTGAATGTTTGGAGTGTTTTTGTTTTTTTGTTCCCTAAAATTTGCTTTGATTTTTAGAAACTGCTTGAATTTCTTGTTTTAATTTTCTATTAAATAAATAATTAAGTTTTTGTTCTGCAGATAAAATGATTTGTTTTACATCTCGGCTCCATTTTGCTCCGTTCAGATAAAATGTTCCTCAAACTGAACGGCCAGACTGAATCTCCACCAGAATCACTGACGCTGGTTAAACTCCACATGGAGCCTCCAACCACAGGGAGCAGCTCACCCTGACCTCTGACCTTAAGAGGCTTAGCAGCATCAACACTTTCCTCCAAACTTTTCAGACTTTCTCGTCTCCCAAACCAAGACGAAGCTTCCAGGAAACGAGTCGGAGCAGCTGCTCTGTCATCTGAAGGCGCTGCTGGACCGGCGCTGCTGGAAATGAAATAAGTGGAAGATCTCTGGTGAAAACAGAATCAGCTCGGCCTCCAAACATAAATCAGGATGTCGGGAAACAAAGCCTTCCCCGGAACAGAGACATTAAAGGTTAGCGGCGCTCAGCGCAGGTCGGCTGCTGCTCTGCGGATAAAAGCCTCCTCTGAATGTTGGAGGTGTTTGCTCGGATGGAAATATTGAAACGCGGAGAGCGCCGCTGAAAAGCAAACAGCGAGCGCATTAGCTGACATTGATTGTGTCAGCAGGGAGGCGTCCTGACATGATCCAGCTTACATAACCCTCAGAGGCGCGCAGCCCACAGAAAGGCCACCGAAATGCTAAGCAAACATCTGCCGGGATTAGAGGTTTGATCCGCTAAGGAACTTCAGACTTCAACCTTTCTCAGCCGCACAACAACTCAAAGTGTTTACGCTGCAGAAGACGGCGGCCGCATCAAACAGGAAGTGAGGCGACAGCAGCGTTACATAATCCACCGATAACAGGAAGGGGCCTGAGGGCCGCCGGCGCTAACGCTAACCAACACCGAGCTACATGGAGGAATCAGCACCGACGAGAAGATCACCTGAACGACCTGAGAGTCGCTTAGCAACCATCAGGTTCTGCTGCCATCACAAACGTAAACATGGGGAAGTTTCCTAAACTCTGCAGAGATTTTAACTTTGTTTATTTTTTCTTGTTTTAAATAAAGAGAGTTTATGTGGAGAGGAAATGGACTTCAAAATAAGAGCATGAATATAAATTTCTTAAAACTTCAACAGATGTTGAACTTTATTTGGCTGAAAGTTTACAAAACATCCAAATTATGCTTCAGAATTTATCTATAGAGATTTATTTTATTATTGCGAAGTGCGCTAAACGTTTTAAAAGTTAGCATAATTGCTGAAGCGCTAAACATTAGCTCTGCTATTAGCGCATTAGCAGTACTGTGCCCACCACAGCTGACAGCAGAACAAATTATCATTAATTCATAAAAAATAATTTAACAAATACTTTTATTTCCTGATGGAGCTGCATGACTGGATGATTTTTATTTTTTCATGTTTTAGGTTTGAATAATGAAACAACATGAACATCCAACATGGACGATTCAGACAGCTTGTTTGTATATTTTCATCAGTTATTTCCAGTAACTTCAGGTGGAATCGTCGCTAACGTCGTCAGTTTGAACTGGAACATGAAGAAGGATCCCGTCTCTGAAGCAGCAGCGTACCATGTCAGGCCCCGGCTCCACAGGTTGAGCCACACAGCTGCAGGTTGTTTCTACTTTTAAACCTCGTTAGCATTCGGTTTCCGCCCAGCTGAGGCCGGCTCTGCCCAGGTGTGCAGCGCTCTGGCCCAGGGCCGTTCACACCTCAGGTGAACCAATTAGCATAGCGCTTCCACCGATCAGCGGCCCGAAGGTCGTCTGCGGGGTCAAACCGCGCGGCTAGTCACTAGCTGACCCGCTTCTGTCAGCTCCGATACACTGACTCACCTCCAAACATTCCTGGTTTAACTGGAAACGCAGCAGGTCAGGATTTATTTTCATCCCAAGGTCTGAGAGACTTTCAGCTCGTTTCACACCAGGTTTCTTCTTCTTCTGTCACTTCCAACCAACATCACCGCCTCCTCCACGGCTTCAAAGTTAGTTTGGTGAAAAAGTCCTACAGCAAATCCTCTACAGAACGACCCAGTTCAGCTACATGGACCAGAAAATAGACGGATCCCATTCAGAAACATGGACCAGAACCACTTTCTCCTACAAAACATCCATTCATCCCCCCATCCCTCCCTCCCTCCCTCCATCCTACCAGGTTTCCGATGCTCAGCATCCCGTTGAACTCGGGCGTCATTGGGTAATGCTCCATGGCCATGAAGAGCGTGTTGAGGACGATGCAGACGGTGATGGCCAGGTCCAGGAAGGGGTCCATCACCATGATCTTCACCAGCTGTTTCAGCCGCAGCCAGGAGGGGGAGCACTCCCACACCAGGTATCGGTGGGCGAACACGTACCAGCAGGGGTGGCACTTCTTATGGGACTCCTCCAGCTCTGCCCAGATGAAGACAGCAGCTTTTTATCTGCTAATCATTCCAAACATTTACAGATTTTTCTACATGCAGCAGCAGAGGAGTTTGTAGTTTATGGGTCAGAAGTTTGTTTTGACTCCAGACTGGAAGGATTTCATCCTGGAGTAAGGCGGCAGGGCGGGGAGCGGAGATGAATCAGAGAGGACAGCAGTGGGTTTTTGTGTTTTCCTGTATAATGATCTGTTCTCTAAGAGCAGCGAGCGCCGGGGGGCAGACGGTGACTCAGCACACCCAACAAACACACACAGGAAGCTGATTGCATGGTAAATGAGGGTGACCACGATGCCACACTCCTTCTCTCTTTCATTCAGTTTCTGTGCGCCGCTCTCCTCTTTCTGACAAACAAAGCGCGCGTTCCCCTGAGGACGGCGGGAGCCACAACAAACCCAGACTCTCTTACACAACCCAGTTTTAGCTCAGTCTGCTGCCGTGTTGGGCAGCTTCATGGATTCTGACATGTTTTTGGTTCTTCTTGCAGTTTTGCATAATGTTGCATTAATACGACCACTTCAGGTCGACTCTGGACTCGTCACTATTGGTGTTCTGTTTAATTCATGCTGGTCTGTTTCCTCTGTCTTTCTGGACTTCTTGCTATTTATGACGCCGGTTCTGAGTCAGTCCATCGGTTTGGAAACAGTTTTAACTGCGGACTGGCAGTAGATTCTGGAATACTTTGGTCTACAGAGGATCCAGGAGTTACGTCTGGGCGGGTCGGTTCGGTTTGGGTCGGTTCAGGTTGGTGCAGGTCGGTTTGGGTCGGTTCAGGTTGGTGCAGGTCGGTTTGGGTCGGTTCAGGTTGGTGCAGGTCAGTTTGGGTCGGTTCAGGTTGGTGCAGGTCAGTTTGGGTCGGTTCAGGTCAGTTTGGGTCGGTTCAGGTCGGTTTGGGTCGGTTCAGGTTGGTGCAGGTCAGTTTGGGTCGGTTCAGGTCAGTTTGGGTCGGTTCAGGTCGGTTTGGGGCGGGTCAGGTTGGTGCAGGTCAGTTTGGGTCGGGTCAGGTCGGGTTGAGTCGGTTCAGGTTGGTTTGGGTCGGTTTGGGTCGGTGCAGGTCAGTTTGGGTCGGTTCAGGTCGGTTTGGGGCGGGTCAGGTTGGTGCA